CTGTCCTACAAGTAACCCCACCGTTCTATAAGTTCTACAACTAGATGTTTTCGACCACCCGACGTTCCGTTATAGCTGTATTTTATATATGCTATCTCCTCCCCCTTGTATCCCATGATGCTCTTACTCAAAGATTATCTACTGAGCATTTCGTGTCTATTAGGGGACAGGCCCGGATAGTAAGCACACCGACAGGTACCATGTCCCAATTATTTTCACTCAATCCCGAAAGTCTCAGAAGTGGCAGACAATAAGAATTTGCTGGAAGAACAAAGGCAGTTCCCTCTTCACCTCATTTTGCACCTAAAAACTCAACAGTCCTGACCAATGCTGATTATGTCAGCTCCCCGAAGGCCAGAACTTGAAATTCTTTTCCACCCTGCACCTCCGGGCCCTCGCACCAGGGCCAGGCGTATAATGGGAGACCCATGACTAAAGGTGCAGAATTTAAGGGATGCCCAACTGCTCCGCCTTCACTCTGCCCCCCTAATAAACGCTTCACTAATAAACTCTCCCACTTTAAATTAAAAAACAAAACAAGGAGATGCCAAATTTTCAGTAACCAAGAAAAATACTAAACACAACATTCTAAAAAAAAAAAAAATGTATGCAAAGAACTAGGACAGTGGTTCTCAACCTTCCTAATGCCGCGACCCTTTCATACAGTTCCTCATGTTGTGGTGACCCCCAACCATAAAAGTATTTTCGTTGCTACTTCATAACTGTAATGTTGCTACTGTTATGAATAGTAATGTAAATAGCTGATATGCAGGATGTATTTAGGCGACCCCAAAGGGGTCGCGACCCACAGGTTGAGAACCGCTGAACGAGGATGAACTAATTATCACAATTTTCCATAAACACGGCTCCACCCTGCAATGGCCTGACTCTCGGACTTAACGCAACGCTTACTAGAAGCCAAGTACTAACTCTCCCTGAGGCTGCAGAAAAGCAAAAAAAAACAAAAAACAACAAAAAAAAAACAAAACCCAACCAAAAAACCCACTAAAACTGCAAAACACAAGGATTCGGACGTTGAGTTTCTATGATGTGGCTTCCTCGCGCGGCCGCCGGCGCGAAGTCCGGGGACGGCACTGTCCCTGCGTCAGGACACACTCAACAGCGACAATTAGCAGCAGCAGCGCACCTGTCACCCAGCCTCAGCCCCTGCTCCACCCCCGCCATCCCCGGAAACCACCCCGGCCGGAGCCGCCGCCCCGCGCGTGGCGATCACAACTCACGGGGGCTATGACTTGGGAGCAGGATTACTGTCTCTCGCGCTTGGCCCTTGAAGGAAAGAAAGAAACAAAACAAAACTAGATACAAGTTTAAAAAGCTCAGGGCCCGCACAAAACAATGGTGGCAGGAGAAAAAACAAAACAAAACAAAACAAACAACACGCTTACAAGAAGTGCCTTCCTGCCTCCACCTCACACCGGCCGGAAGGACCCAGGAGGTCCCGGCTCCAGCCTCCCGCCGCCGCGGTGGCGGGACCAGGTGCGCGCGCCCCGAGGACCCGCCCCCTGGCGCACGTCCCTCTCCTTCCCTCTGAGAATCGCGAGGGCCCCCAGCGCGCAGGCGTCAACCCGCCAACTCCGCAGCCACCGCCCGCCAAGCGCCTGCGCACCAGCGCTGGGCCGGAGGCGGGGCGAAGGCAGGAGGGAGAGAGGAGCGCGCCCAAATCCTAGAGAGGCGGGCTGAGGCGGGCGGGGGGAGGGCTCGTCTTCCGGAAAGTCTGCGTTCCCGGACGACCAGAGGCGCCGCTCACCAACCTCCCGCACAGGAGAATGGCCGGAGAGAGCCGGCTACCCTGTGTCCCCATCGGAGACCTTCAGAGAGGAGCCGGCGCTGCCATCGGGATGAGACCAGGACTCGCCGGA